TATTGTAATAGAAAAGCAAGGTGAACGAAGAACATATATTGAAGAAACCATGAAGTATTTACCTCCTGAAAGATGGAGAGAGATTAGGTCCAGATAGTGTGGTAGAAGAAATGGTAGTAAGAGCTGGTTCTATGGTCACAGAACTAGTTGAATTTGCTTCTGCCCTGTTTCATGGGAGTTTGTTTCCATTCCACCCCAGTAAGAGAATAAGTCAAATGTTCAGAACAAATTTTTTGAAGTCTACATTTACACATTTCTTTGGCTATATGCAAAATTGTTTAGGTTGAAGGTGAAAGACTTGATTAGTATCCATGCTAACTTTGAAGTTTGCTGCATTTTAGACAGTTCCTACCATTCTTCTAAAACAGTCAGAACTAAGTAAGAACTAACTAAGAACTAACAGTCAGATCGCTGGAGCAATTCAATAATTAGTTTGATAAAATAACAAGAGATCCTCATGATGCCCAGATTTATCTTATATTTTAATGTTCTGAAGACATCCTAAAAATACTGGAAGTTTCAATAAAAATGCAGCATGCAAACCTAATCAGATCTACAATAGAAATTGTTTCATCTTATGCCATGCCCTTTGACACATTAGTATTACTTTGTGTCCCCAGTTTAACCTCACAATAGAAGAGTATCAATAACAAAAACTCTTTTTTTCACAGCAGTTGAGATCAAAGTAATTTTCCCTTGGTCTCCTTTATCACTTAGCAACCTTCCTTGCAATAAGCACATGACATATGAAGAGTTATTATGTGCAAACATGCCCTTTATGCAAAAAAGAATCAATTGTAGTTTTCCCCAAAGCCTGCAATCTAATAGTAATTGGTAGTAAAGTGACGGTAAACATAGTGCTTTGACTTTCAAATGTGATAATTACCTAATCAAGAATATCCCTCATTATTTAAGATATTATTAATGGTTATATTACTACATGGTACAGATGAGTTTTCATAACAAAATGTAGTCATGACTGTGAGTTGATGGAATCACAAAAGATGAGCCAACCTTTGAGGCTGTGGTAGTGGTGGTGGTGGTGGTACTGTTGCTGCTGATTGTTGAAATTCTTCAGGTATTTCGCAGATCTGAATAGCTTCAGAACGGGAGTACTGAGTTTCTAGTCCATTCATTATATTTCTAGATATGATTTATATGTAATAATAATAGAGTGCTTGTATTTTCAAGTCTAGCTACTGTAGAAAATACAACTTCTGACAGAATAGAAACAACAATATAAGGCAATCAAATACATTATAGATTGTTAAAAAAAGTCTTAGCTTCAGAGAGAAACAAATTTAATGTATGTTCTGCCCTACAAAGCCAGGATATATAAATGGTTTGGGGGGGGGTTTGTTCTCATAGTATAGTGCAGCAGCCATGAATAGTGACAGTTATACAGTTATAATAGTGACAGTACTTCTAAGTGGTTTATAGAATCAGCATAATGCCCCCAACAATCTGGGTCCTTATTTTACCAACCTCGGAAGGATGGAAGACTGAGTCAGCTTTGAGCTGGTCAGCATCAAACTCCTGGCAGTGGGCAGAATCAGACTGCAATACTGCATTCTAAGCACTGTGCCACCATGGCAATTAGACATAGCAATGGGACATAAAGATCTCGGGGAATTAGGTTATAGGAAGACGTATGGTTTTGGAGATTAAAAACAAGGATAGGGATTAAATTAAAAGTGCTTGCATTAAAACTGATAATAGCATAAGGGGGAGGCATGGGATCTCTGAGAAGGGACTGACTCCAATCAGATTCCAATGGCTCTTTATAATACTTATGCCTTCCAACATAAGAAGCAAGCATCCAGGTTTCATTGTGGCAAGAAAATGAATGAATATATCAATATAAATAAATATATAGCCCTAAACAAAATTGGAAACAACCGAATGGTTCTCAAGTCTTTCAAATGGTAATGCAGTGATATCAAGAATATGTTTAATTCTGTGATGGATCCTTCAGACCCTAATAAAATTAGGTATTGAACTCAGAAGCTATGTTGTATAGGATCAAAATCAATATCTTTTCCCAAGCTGAGAAACAGTAGAAGGTACATGGCCAGGGGTGAATCAATGTCTCCTATTTTAATCCTAGCGGGGGGTGAATGGGTGGGTAAAGTCACTAGATGTAACAGCCTATAAATAATATATTAATCAAAACTTTTTTTCTTGGTAAAAAAAAATATCATCCAGAAAACTTGAGAGGGCTACAAAACCTCCTGAAATGCTGATTCCAATTACGAAAAATGAATTAGGACCCTTCTAGGACCCATGCAGGGTGGACTTTTAAAACTTTTCACTGTACCACTAAAATACTGTATATCTTAGATCTTTAAAGAATCCAGCATGGGAACCATCCAGGAAAAGATTGATCAGTTTAGCTCTAAAAAATATTTATGATAGCGGACACACAGTTGGCTACCACCTCCACTGACTCTAAAAATACAATCCTAAATTTAGGCCTAGCTCAATTAGTGACAGGTTTAGATTGACCTCTCCTAGCAGTGAAGGGCTGAAAAGTCATCCTTAAATGCCTTTGTTTGTTCAATGTTGGTACTATTTATCAGTGAGAAGCATGACTGGCAGGTCTTTTGATGAATATCACTATTTTTGCTTAAGGAATATTGATAACAAGTTGGTGACTTGGTTACATTAAGCCACAAGGTTTGATTGCAATGAGGAAGAACTGCAATGATGTTGAGGTGAAAACAGTTTTGTGCTATGAAGAAAAGACATATAATGACAAAGACAGATAGACCTAAAAAAGCACTAAGGAAAGAAACAAGAATGTAAATACTGAAAAATAGGTGACAAACATAGAAAAAATTACAGAAAAAATATATTTATTAAACAGTATTTTCCCATTTTTGACAAAAGCAATGCTTTTTTCTGAGCAAAGAAAAACCTAGCAAGGACTGATTTGCATAGTATTTTCCTGACCCTACAAAGCTACAAAAATGAAAGACCACCACCAGAAGGGTAACTGAAAGTATCTTACACATTTTTTCTGGTAAATATTCTGGTAATTATTGCCAGAGATCAAATGTTCTGTTACAATAATGATAGTAGCATATGGTAAACAAACGATAATTCAGTCTGTACTTCTGCTGTTGTATAATTTTTTTTGTACAAATTCTATTCATTCCAAATACAAAGCATTTTTACCAACTTCAGTTCCCAGAATCCAATCACGTTGTCTTGGAACTGAGAACTGTAGTTCCAAAACATCTGGAAAGCACCATATCAGTAAAGACAGATGTTTAGCCATTTCTACCAATTTGCAATAATCCAATCTGGCACTGTTGGTCAAATAGTACTGAGTAAGAACTAAAATAATCCTGGATATAATATCACATTGCATTATTCAGAGTAGAAATCATGCCACATGCAATCCTTAAGGTGGTTTGCAACTCTAAAATGGAAATTAGACAGATTTAAAAGAGAGGGCTAAAAAAAATTACAGATTACTCTGAAGATTAATTCATAACACCTATTTATTGCCTTCGGTTAACATGGCTCAAGTACAAGATTAAACATTGAAAAAAGCAACATAAACAGTAGACTGAGGCCTCAAAATAATGATAGCAAAGTAATTAAGTACCCATTGAAAAGCATTTCCATATTGCAGTGTGCAGCCTGGTACTGGTCCTTGAGATAAAAAATGCCTAGTCTTTAGAAAATACACAAATAATTTTTACTCAGAATATAGCATTTACTGAAAGGGAAAGAGGAAAAAGAGTGACTAATTTTCTGAAGCCTTCACAGAGTATTGGGCAACCTAAGTATTTAAAACTTACTCATGCACAAAAGTTTATCCATCATTTGGTATACATGTATGTTTACATCTTGGGCCTGCAAAAAAAAAAATACTGGAAAGAAAAATGGTCTATCTCGTGACATAGGTTTGGGAAATTTGATTTAAAGTAATTTCCACATCTGCCATGAATTCCATCTTCAATTCCACTAAATAGTCAGCAGAAATGTTAACAGTGCCTAGAAATTAAAGATTAAGTGTCCCCAAATATCTCCCATGAATACCTATAGAATCCCTAACATGTTTTTATATTAGGAGCTCCTAATAACTCCAAAAGCAAGATTTCAGTAGATTCTTCAATTATCTAGGGTTCATTCCATAGTGTACAATGAGATAATAACACATTTTCAAGTGTTCAGTGTGCATTAGGACATTCCTTTACACTACTCCTGAAAGTCAGTATTATCACTCCCATAATGCAGATGGGGAGATCTATGTAAAACTATACAGTCAATTAAGAGATAAGTAAGATACCAACTCGAAGCTTTTTAATGTATATGTACTGGACTTACTTTTATCATAATGTAATGGACTTAACTTTGTTTTTGACCCAATGCTACTGTAGAA